ACCCTGGGTTTCTATTGGGTCCTTGGAGGCCATGGACAGGAGAGTGCAGTTACTTCGGGACTTTCGCAAGCTACACGTCTACATGAATCGTCAGAAGTTGGCCATTCTGCTACACGTCTGGGCTTAACCACTCAGGGGTACGTGGTATTGCCACCGCCTCAACCGCCTCCGCGTTGCCGCTCGGCGCATGCGCCTGCCGCATCAAGTTTGGCTTCGCCAACTCCGATCGTCTCATCGGGCTCTTCGATCGATCGTGCAGGCCCTCAGCGAGGTGCTCGACACTGCCCGTCAGCTAAGGCTTCGTCGCACTAAGGGTCGGCTTTGGCAGGCCCCTTCTCTTATTGTGGATTTGCTTGCTCGGCTGGGTGGTAGTTTCGATGTCTTCTGTGGCTATATTACCGGAGATGATTCAACCAGTGCAGTCTTCCACGCATCTGATTCATCTGGTGTTGGTTCCTACGTCTCGGGTACTTCGGCTGGGCTTGCTCATTGTTGGAGTGCCACGTCGCGGGTTGCAGCTCTCTCTTGGGGTCTCCGCACGATCGGCATGAATTGCCATACGGCAGTGGTCAATCATCACGTCAAGCAGGATGCTAAGCAGCACACGTCTGACTTGGCGGCGGAGGTCTCGAGCGCCTGGTCCAGGCGTGATTTCAAGATTGCGTTTGCGAAGCTCCGTGCCATGGGGGCCTGCTCTCGCCGCAAGCAGACATCTCGCCCGCTCCCTCTGCTCCATGGGCATGACGGTCAACCCCTTCGTGATGTCATTGCTGTTGCAGACTCTTGGGTTGAGCATTTTGGCCAGGTTGAAGCTGCACCCGTCATCCCTTTCTCGGATCTTGACTGGTTCTTTCACCATCTTCCTCGCCTCTCTCCCGACGTGCTCACGAACGTCCCCATGACGGTGGACGAAATCCCGTCACCCGGCCAGCTGGAGACCTCATATAGGCGCGTCAGAAACATTGCGGCGGGCCCGGATGGATTCCCAGGCAAGGTCGTGTCTTCGTTTGCTGCTGAACTCGCACGGTATATGCACCCGCTACGCGTGAAATCCACTGTTCGTGTTTGCGAGCCCATCCAGTGGAAGGGAGGTTTCTACTGGTCGTTGTTCAAGTCTGGTTCTGCCTCTCAGCGATCGTGCTATCGCTCTATTCTTGGGTCGTCTCAGTTTGGTAAGCGGTTTCGGAGCATCACTCGTGCGGACACCCTCCAGGTCTTGGCCTCGGTCGCTGGCGATCGACAATTTGGGGGCTTGCCTGGCCGTGGGAACCGAGTTTGGGGCCCTGGAGCTGAGGCTTTTTCAGCAGCTGGCCGTATCTAGAAGGGTTTCGGTTTTACTCATGTTCCAGGATGTCGTGCAGGCCTACTACAAATGTGTTCGCGAGTTGGTTATGCGCACTCCCAGCGACGATGCATCGTTGGCCGTGCTGCTGCGGGCCTGCGGTCTGCCTCCAGAGGCCATGCAAGAGCTACAGGAGTATATCGCCAGCAACCCTCCCATGATGGAGGCCAGCGGACTGTCCCCCTTTCGGTGTGCACAGGTCGCCGATGCCTATGCTCCCTCTTGGTTTTTCGTCCAGGATGCGACCACGATCGCCTTCCCCCAGCTTGGGTCGGGCCCCGGGCAGCAACTAGGCGATGTCGTTTTTAATTTTGTGATGTCATCTACTATGCAGCTGGTTCGTGACAGGCTCTTACCCCTGGGCATTGTCTTGCGTTTACCTACTGCCGCAGACGCGTCCATGGCCGAGTATGGACAGGCATCATCTGAACATCGTGGCCCCGTGCATCAGTCACATAGCATGGAAGGTGTTTTCTTCGACGATGCAGTTTTTTTTTTCTTGGGTTTGGCTGAGCAGTTGCTTACAGTGGGTCCGCTGCTTGCTGCCGAGATTGCCGATGCTTTTGCTGCTCGGGGGTTCCGGCTCAACACCAAGGTTGGGAAGTCGTCCATGCTGTTCCAGTTCAGAGGTCCTGGGTCCACCAAGGCCAAAAAGCAGCTCTGGGAGACTCTTGGTGGCGTCTTCACTGTTCCGACCCGGCTTTCAGGAACTTTGGAGGTTCATGCTGTGCATCAGTACGTACATCTCGGGACGACTCAGGACGACTATTGCTCCATGGGCCCGGAGTTGGCTCACCGCACGCGGTCGTGCGCGAGCGCGTGGCTTTGCTTGCGCAAGCGTATCTTTCGCCAGCCCAGCATCGACCCCTCTGTCGCCACTGTCCTGCTCGACTCGTTGGTGACCTCTGGGAAGCTTTTCCAGGCAGGTACTTGGGGCTTCTTGTCTGACGCGCAAGCCCGTGGTCTTGAAGATGATGTTATTCGGCATTATCGTGCCATCTCCAAGCAGCCACGGAGAGACGGCTCAGCTGCCAACAACCTGGCGGTTCTCGGAGAGGTTCTGAAACCGCCTGTGTCTGCCTTGCTCAGTGCTCAACGTCTTCGGTTGTATGGACGTCTACTGGTCTCTGGTCCTCCTCATCTCGTCGCTCTTGCTGCTCTGTGTCGTCAGGAGTGCTTCCGTTCTTGGGGGCATCAGGTTTTGAGCGATCTGCAGTGGGCACGCCTGTTCCATTCTAGGCTGCATGATATGCCGGACCCCCACGATGACCTTGGAGCTTGGGAGGTGCTCATTCGTCAGTCGGCCACGTCTTGGAAACGTATCATCCGGGATTCCCTGGTGTCGCACGCCCGCCATGTTCAGTTGCATGCCCTGTGTGCTACCGCGGAGCGGGCGACTTTCGAGATCATGCGGGACGCTGGGGTGCCCTCTGCCATTAGTGATCCAGAGCACCCCCTTCGGAAAGCTGAGGATGAGTCGTGCAAAGTCTGGTCTTGCCCGTGGCGTTAAGAACCTTTCGGCCGTGCCAGAGCGCTTCGTCCACACATTGTTCGTCGCCATTACTCTCGTGTTGCTCTCGTACGTCGTTTCTTGGGCGCCGACCACACGTGCTGTACATGTCATATGCGTTTCAGCCACCGGTCTGCCTTGGCTAATCATGTTTCTTTTGATTCCCCTAAGTGTGCTCTTGGTTTACTGTGGTTGGGTCAGCAGGAACCACAAGCTCGATTGGACGAGCTCAATGCCCTCGAATCGGCTCGTCGCGCCGAGCAGCGCCGATCTGGGCTGGGACGTTGGCGCGTCGCGGCCCCGGCCTCCAGGCAGGCTGGCACGGCTCCACAGGAACTCCAAGCAGTGTTGCAGCAGTTATCTCACGAAGATGCCAGGGACGCTCTCCTGGAATCTGATTATGCATTAGATCCAGCATCTATCTCTGTGTTCTTGAGTATTTTCTCGGATGGGACTCCTGAGCCGTCCACTTGGGCTTCAGATGATCGGTTTTATCCGTATCGGCCTCAGGATTACACTGGCATAGCATGTTCTTCGGTCCCCTATCGGATTCGACGCCCTGTCTTCTTCGCCCTGCACTTGTTCAGTGGACAACGTCGGCGGGGTGACATCCAGTGTCAGTTAGAGCAGCATTACTCGTCTCCTGATGTTGAGCTGTTCATGCTTAGCATAGATATCGCCATCGACCCGATCCGTGTCGACCTCACGCGTGAAGGTTCGATATTGGAGTGGGCTGAGCATATCAGAGCTCGTAGAGTCATCAACACGGGGGGGGACCTCCCTGTGAAACTTGGTCCGCGTCCCGTTGGCATGAGGGAGGTCCCCCCCCCTCAGGTCTTCGGAGTATATCTGGGGAGTTCCATGGGCTACGACTCGGCAGTGCGACCAACTCCGCGTAGGTAGCATGCTGCTTTATGCCCTCGTCCGCCTTATGGCGGAGCACCTCAGAGCTGGGACAGGAGCCTGGCTGGAGCACCCCGCGCCCGCGGTCTGGGCCCCGCGTGCGCCCACCTCTTTTAGGTGGCCCCCCCTTGTGGCTCTTTCTTCGGCCCCGTGTGCGGCCACTACGGTTTTTGACCAGTGCGAGCATCAGGCTTCTGATATTGACCCTGCCTCTGTTGGACGTGCCCCCACTTGTGTAGTTTCTCTCCGCATGCCTGGCCTGCATAATGCATTGCATTGCACTCCTGGCCAGGGCAAGTGCTCTCACGGTCCCAGGGCCCACGTCTGTTTGTTTGGCAAAGACGCGTCTGGTGCTTTTCGCACTGCCTCCAAGAAGGTGTACCCGCCAGGTATGTGTGCTGCCCTGGCTAGCTCGATTTGGCACAGTGTTCTGGCACTCACTGAATCCCCAGACGCCGAGAGTGATCTTGAAGTGTCGCCTATTTCTGAGCAGGTCATGTCTGAGCTTAATGAGTTTTATGTTTCGGCCTGCTCGGAGGATGGACCTCCCGACCCGGCTTTACAGCCTGATTATGCTGGGTTCGGTCGGTCCCGTGGTCGTCGTCGGGTCGATCCGGAGAAGGCTCGGTTTCAGGATTCTGATGCCGAGGATGCGCCTGGTGAGGACTCCTCCCCTGGCCCCGTTACTGCTATCGACGCTGCCGACGAGCAGTCTGTCATAGACCAGATTGTTGGCACCCAGGAGGAGCAAGCCGCTCATTGGGTTTTCGTCTCTTCTCCCTCCCTTCCCTCTCCCCCCCCCCCGCCCTCCCCCCTTCCCCTCTCCGACGCCCAGAGAGCGCGCATTGCCGCCAACAGGGAGGCGGCCCGTCGCCTCCGCGAGGCGCGCCGCCGCCGCGAGGTGGCGCCGTGGGGAGAGGCCCCCCCGCGCCCACCTCTCTTCTCGGAGCCCGCCGTCGGGGACACGGCGGCCGGGGAGGCTGAGGCGACCGCGGCCCTCCGAGCCTGGCTCGGATAGGCCGGCCCGCCTGCCCCTCCCCGTCCATTTTCAGGAATTCGATTTCAGTAATCGTCTCGAGTACGCTGACCTCAGCCATACCGCCGTTCGACGACGACCTCCCTCCTCCCGCCTCCCTCCTCCTTCCTCCCTCCTCCCTCCGGCTCCTCCTCCTCCTCCTCCTGCCCCTAGCCCCCCAGACACCGCCCCCCACAGATCAGAGGTGCATCCCCCCCCCCCACCCACAGGAGTGGACGCGCCGCGGCCTCGGCGAGCGACTGGGCCACACGCCGCTCCGGCGGGGCGCCTGGTGGCCCTGGGCGGCCGCGCCCCGGGCCGGCGCCGCGGAGCCCAGAGAAGGCGCCGCCTGGGCGGCAGCAAAGGGGCGCTGGGTGCCGTTCGTCGTCGTCGTCGTCGTCGTCAGCGTCCGCGTCCGCGTCGGGGAGGGCCCAGACTGAATCAGTTGCCTCGATGCGCCCGCTCCGAGAAACGCAGCCTGGGGGTTGACAGGGGCGCAGGCACCGCAGCCCTTTTGGCAGTGGTCGGACGCCCAACTTATCTGGGCAGCAAGGCTTCCGTGCTCTGGCGGCGTTCGGGAACCTGCCGGGCGACCTGCTTACGCGGGCCGCTGGAACTGGTTGACTGGCCTCCGTCGCAATTGGACGTCATCCGTCCTGAAACTCCACGCGTGCCGAGCTCCAGACGTCCGTGCTGATGCGTTGCGCGCTGGCTCGGCACGCGTGGGTCCCTGCGTTCTGGCGAGCGCCACGCGCCAGCCATGCCCTCTCGGTCTCGCGTGGCGCTCCGGGTCGGCACGCCACGTGCTGCATGTGGCGTGTCGGGGCAGCTGGACTCCACTGAGATGTGTCTTCAGTCCGGGCGTTTGTCTTCGGCTTCGGATGTCGGGCCCCTTTTTCGGGACCCCGGGCCCTAAAACATGGAGCGGGGACGGAAACTACGCACGAGCCGCAACGACCAGCAGCAGCGAGCAACGCGGACCGCTGCAGCGACGAGCATACACTGTCCGATTCTTTCAGACGGGATGCCATGTCGCGTGGGGTTTCGGTGTCGTGTGGGGCGGGTCGCGTGGGGCTTCGGTGTCGAGTGGGGCGGTCGATCGTTGCGAGTAGTGCAACCATAGCAGCGAATCTCAGACGTTGAGTCATAATCAGCGCTCCTTTGTCGTCGAAGAAAAACTGCACATGGGGAAGGGATCGGGACCTCTGGGGCCGCGGATTGACAAAAGCATATCGGCGAATGTCTGGGAGGGGAGCAGGTTGGTTGGTTGGGCTTGCCCGGGGAAGACAGGATGTCGAGCCCTTAGGATAGGAGTGCATTGGGTCCGGCGGTGCGGAGCGGGGGGGCGGTGCATGTGGCGGGTGAAGACATGGTGCACCTGTTGTGCACCGTAGGGGCCCTGAAGCGGCCCCCCTGGAACCCGAAAGAGGCGCGAAGGGTGCACGTGTCTTCGCCCCCACCCCCCGTGAGTCGCCCCCCATGAAGCAGTGCCCACCTGGGAGAACCTCTAGGCCTCGGGCGACGTACATCCGGGGGCTGTTTTCGGAACCTGGGCCCCTCAAGAATGCGTCGGGGACGAAAAGCTATTCCAAGGGAAAGGACGGGAACTGGCGGGGGGCGACCATGGGAGGGGTGGAGACAGGTGCACCCTGGAGGCCCTAAAGGAGCCCCAAGGAGCCCAAAAGGGGCTCGAGAGGTACACGAGTCTGCGCTCCTCTCCCCCCCCCCCGTTTGTCGCCCCCCCTGATGCAACGCCCAATCGGGAGAGCCCAGACCTCGGACGATGTGAGCGCATAAGTTGTTCAACCGAGGCGTATGTTTCCCGATTTCGGCCTTCGGGGCAGTTTTGAGGACCCTGGGAGAAATCAGATCCGCAGATGTTTGGGAGCGGGGCGAGGGGGCAGGTTCCAGGCGTAATGGGGGGATAGGCTCAGGTGGGTGCGCGTCGACCCCAATCTGCCTGCGGAAGCGAACGTCGGCCTTCCAAGAGATGACAATGTTTTGCGGGTCCAGGGCTTCAGGAACCCGCCAGGCGCGCCGCCAGGGCTGTCAGGGGAGGTGATTTTTTACATCAGCGAGTACATGCCCCCACTGGGAGGGCGAGGGGGGGATGGGGATGGGGGGGAGGGGGGAGGAGGAGGAGGAGGAGGAGGAGGAGGAGGAGGAGGAGGAGGAGGAGGAGGAGGAGGAGGAGGAGGAGGAGGAGGAAGGGGGAGGAGAAGAAGAAGAAGAAGAAGAAGAAGCGGCCGCGAAGCGCGGGTCGTGCCCCACCTCGGCCTAAGCCGAGAAGGCCAACTCAGAAGACGGACTTACACATGCTGCCGTCGAAGAGGGCGCCGAAGGAGAAGTCCGTGAGAGGGAGGACGGCCCGACTGGGCATTATCGTCCTCCCCCCGCCGCACCGGAGCTGCCCCCGCCGTCCTCCCGCACGATGTTGCCGAACGGCTCGAAGGCGAGCTTCGTGCGCGGGCCAGCGCCATCGATGCGGACTCGGGCGACCGCTTCGCCTGCACCGACGACCGTGCCAGTGCGCCCCGCGTACTGGCCCTCCACGATGCGGACGCGATCGCCCTTCTGCCTGGGGCGCCCCGCGCTTCCCGCAGCGACTGCCGCAGGAGCCGCCGCCCGCCGCAGGCCATCGGCCCAGGTGTCGTCGATCAGGTCCTCACCGACCTGCGCGTCCCGCTCCACCTCGGCCGCTTCGGAGGGGCCAGCAAGCGCCCGCGGCGCTGCGGCGCCATGGAGTGGCGTCGGGCCGCCCTGGCCCGTGCTGTTGTCCTTGCCCTGCGCCGCGTCGCCCATCGCAGCGCGCACCACTCCTTCCTCCTCGTCCTCCGCGTCGCACTCCATCGCCGCCGCCAGCGTCGCCACTCCCGCACCCGCTCGCCCACCTCGCCCACGCGGACGGCGCCGCCGCCGAGAGGCAGCAGCGGGCGATGCCGTTGCCCTGGGGGGCGCGGCGGGGGCGGGCGGCGCCGCAAGCACAGCGACGGCCGACCTCAGGAGACCCTCGGCGGCTCGCGCGAGGCGCTGTGCCTCGCGATGCCCGCCCGTCAGCCCAGCAGCAGCATGCGTCGCCAGGAGCGCCCCGCGGAGGGCGTCCTGCGACACGCGCGCGCAGCGGGCGTCCTGCGTACCAGGCATCGGAACGACGGCGGCGGGGCTTGCGGCGACGATCTTGAGCCAATATGGTACTGAGGAAGGGGGAGGAGGAGGAGGAGGAGGAGGAGGAGGAGGAGGAGGAGGAGGAGGAGAAGGAGGTTGCGACGACTCCTCGTGGCCCCAGGCGCCGCGCCCGCGACGCTGGGCGCGCTCGTGGAGCGCCTCGCGGCGGGCGCCGAGGGCGGGGGCCCGCTGCCGTACTCCTTCGAGACGCCGACGGGCGAGGCGCGCGAGAGGGTCCTGGCCGACGTGCCGCTGTTCCCCGCGGGCTCGAGCGAGGCGCCCGGGAGCAGGGTCCGCAGGGCGCCGGGGGGGGGCGGAGGAGGAGGAGGAGGAGGAGGAGGAGGAGGAGGAGGAGAGCTAGGCTTCCCCCAAGATCAAGGAGTTGCCGTCCGCAGGGGGGACGTCCTGGTCCGTCCCCCTTGCCTTCTTCGCCGTCGTCCTCGGCCCACCTCGCCGCCCGCCCGCTTCGCCGCGCCCCACTGCGAGGAACCCGGCCCCCGCCCCTCGCCGCTCGGCGCCGGGCTCGCCGCAGGCGCTGCGGCGGTGTCAGGCCGCAGCCCCTCGCGATGCGGGCGGCGTCGTCGCAGTCGCCGTCGACAGGTCGCCGTCGTCGTCCTCGTCGCCGCCGTCGCCGCCGCCGCCGCCGCCGCCGTCGTCGTCGTCGTCGTCGTCGTCGTCGTCGTCGTCCGTGGTCGTCGTCGCCGTTGTCGTCCCCGCGTGCCGCCGTCTTGCTCAGTAGGATGTCTGGATCGCCGCAGATTCACGGAGGTTGTCGGAAGCTGCTCGGAATGTCGTTGCCGCCGTCGTCGTCATCGTCGCTTTCAACGTCGTTGTCTTGGCTGTCGTGGCCGTAGTATTTGTAGTGAGAGCGCTCGTCGTCGTCGTCGTCGGCCTCCACCGCCTCCTCCTCCTCGAGGGGGGAGGGAGGAGGAGGAGGAGGAGGAGGAGGAGGAGGAGGACGAGGAGGAGGAGGAGGAGGAGGCGGCTAGGAGGACGAGGAGTAGGAGGAGGCCAGGAGGTGGAGGAGGTGCAGGAGGACAGCAGGCGAAGAGGGGAGAATGATGACCAGTGGAGGAGAACGAAACAAGACGGAGGCCAGAAGGGCGGTGAGTCGGGCTCCCCCTTTTACGCCTGCTCCTGCTCCCCCTCCAATCGCCCCCCTCTACTAGTAGGACAACGACGGACGACGACGATGACGACGAAGACGACGACGAAGACGACGGCGGCGGCGGTGGCGGCGACGACGACGACGACGACGATGACGATGACGACGACGACGACGACGACGGCGACGACGGCGACGACGGGCGACGGACGGCGGACCACGCACGACGGATGACGACGACGAAGACGGAGACGAAGACGAAGGTGTTTCGGGTCGGTTCGGGGGCCGGGGGCTAACGTAGAATCGAGGCCGTCGTCGTCGTCGTCGTCATCGTCGTCAGCGCCATTGCCGTGGCCGTATCACTCGTAGTGAATCCTCTGGTCGTCGTCGACCCTCTTCGCCCTGCTCGAAGGAGGGAGGATGCCGAAGATGAGAGAGAGGATGTGGCAGCAGGCGAAGAGTGAGTATTGACGTCTTGTGGAGGAGGACGAGGAAGAGGAAGGCGAGGAGGGCGGCGAGTCGTGCCCTCCCGTCGCTATTTCGTTATCAGTATCGAAGACGCCTACGGCGAATCACCGCCGCCCCCTGCCTTTGTGGAAGCGCCTATGTGGCCGAACGTTGAGGCCAGACCTGCCAAGCCATCGGACCATGTGTTCCCCGAATCGGTTTGGAAAGCCTTCGGGGAACACGTGGGCGTCTTGATGGTCATCGTCGTCGTCTTGGAGGCCTCTTGGGCGATCTTTCGGCGATCTTTGGGGGCTCTTGGGCCGTCTCGGGCCGTCGGAAGGCCGAAAGAAGGGAAATGCCCAAATCCATCAAAAACCCTTGGAACATCAGTGATTTTGGCATCTTTTGGCCTTCCTGGAGGCCCTCTTGGGGGCCTCTTGGGCCCTTTTGGGCCAGCTTCGAGCCAACTTCGGCCATCTTGGTGGTTCCTGGCACGTCTGACGCCGTCGGGAGCCGTTTTTGGGGGCCTTTCTGGGCCAACGGGGGACACTCTTGGGGCGCTCCAGGGCCGTCTTGGAGGCCATCTTGGGCGTCTTGGAGGCCATCTTGGGCGTGTTGGAGGCCTCTTGG